GGAGGAGGAGGAGGAGGAGGAGGAGGAAGGGAGTGCAAGAGGAGGAGGAGGAGAAGTAGGCAGATGATAGGTACATAGATTAATAGACAGGTTTCCTGCAAAGTATTATAGTCTTGAACTTTGACAATGTCATTATGAATGTCAACTCTCCAGTTAAACTGCCAGACGATCTTGAGAAGTTCAACCTCATCACTGAAATAAGATTAAAGAAATGATTTTGATTTTATAAACTAACAAGTACTACAAAGTTGCAAAATCGCTATTAATAATAACATGTAGTGTTGACTTTGGCTTCTTTCTCTCCTGAATGTCCCAACACGTAGTTACACATGAAGCTGCCCTCTGTTTTGATTAAGTGGCTTTTATAGTCACTTTGTTTAACTTTTACATTATCCAAAGACTTTCTCAGCCCAAAATAATCTGAGGAAAGCATCTGTCCCAAAGATGAATAATAACTTAGATTTTAAAATGTTGTTCCAGTCTTCAGCACTTCCACATGTATTGAAGTCAACATAAAGGAATACTGTATTTATTATGGAAATTCAACCATGTGCCCTCAACAAAAATAGAAAACTCTGAAGAAGGAGGAAATCCTCCTCCCTGCCTCACCTTTCTTTCCTCTATTGGCTGCTCTTCAGAAAAGAAGATCATGGTATAAATCTACAGAGAAAGAGGAGCAATAATTTCATAGCTCCTGCCTTTTGAGCTTCCAAAGGGTCTTCACTCCCATAATTTAAGGCCTATGGAGGGAATTTCTGTGGGTTATTCAGTTACACTTGATTTTTATATTACTCTCTAACTCTAGTACTTGATCTTGTATATAGTGGGACTAAATTGCTTCTGATATTCTAGGACTAGGAGTGTATGTGTCTACGCTGCTTTGCAATTGAGGATACCGTAGTATCAAAGAGGTTAAGCAACTTGTTTGATCAAGATCTCCCAGTGAGCGAGATCTCCCAGCAAGCGAGATTAGCAAGCAAGCCCTGAGACAAATTAGTTCATCAAACATTATATTTATTCTGATTTCTCAGGCGTTTCGGTCTGCTGTAACAAAACTATCAAAGACGGGTGAGTTTATAAACATCACAAATGTATTTCTTACATTTCTGGAGGAGGTCAAGCTGCTGGCGGGTGTAGTCCCTCGTGAGAGCCCATGGTCTTGCACATAGATAGAGCCTTCTTGCTATGTCCTCATAAAGTAGCAAGGACCAAGGCATTTTCTGAGGACACTAATCCCAATCAGAAAGACTTCACTCTCCTGACCCCATCACCTCCCAGAAGCTCCGCTGACTGATACCATCACATTAGGGGTTACATCTCAAGATACGAATTTTGGGGGGACATGAATATACAGTGTATAGCACCCAATATTACACTTAGCCATAACTCAAATCATTTCCATCATGTCTCCTTAATAAAAGTGTCCTTTCCCCTACTTTAAAAAAGCTCTTATTAAATTACAATAGGCACAGAGAATGTATACAACTTAACGCACTTCCACAAACAAATCTGTAGAATGGACAGCTATTCCAAAAATGAATAATGCTCCTTGTTCATGGATAGGAAGAATCAACATCGTGAAAATGGCCATACT